TTTTTTTTTTTTTTTTTTTTTTAAAGTAGAGTGTATGTCATTATGTCTTCTCTGGGACATTACTTGACTAATCAAAATAAGCCTTATTGAATTTAATAGGACTTAATGTGGCTTCTCTATCACTTTTTCCACCTCTAACAATATATTCTTTCTGCAGGTTTTGTTACATCCTGTGCCCCCGGCATCCAATGGCAGTAGCTCCCAGTCTTCTTGTGAACAGCCTTTACCATGGTTCAGTCTAAAGTGCTTAGGGTGAGCCATTTTAATAACAACACAAAGGAAAGAAATGAATGATAAATAGATGGATTTTTAATATTCACTGTGTATAATATTCACCATCTTAACATTCAGTAACATCATAAGTGAAAAAAATAATAGTTGTTACCAGGTCTGCAGTCCGGTTTTATTAAAATGTAAGCAAGTATGTGGCTTTACTCTCATGTGTCAGAAATTAGATAAGTGGTGAGCAACAGTATGTTATATGTGAATCAGATTTGTATGTAATATTATATACAAATAAAGGATTTACACACTTTCTTTGAATTCTCTATATTGAGGGGCAGCAATATTTCTTTACATAAATGAAGAATTTATGTAATGAAGTCTACACTTTTAACTGTGTTGTGAAGTTACCATAACAGTAGGCAGAACTGAGGGAAGAAATTGCACATTCATCCTTTGGGCTGCTTCATAGAATACTCTGGAAACACTACACTTTTATTTGATATGTAACTTGATTAAGGTGAGAGGGAATTTAGTTCTCAGTTTTGTTCTTTGCAGAGGAGTGGATAACATCGGACTATCGTCTTTGAAACACATATCCCATAGCCTCTTGATGCATCCCCTGTCTCAAAAACTAGGTCCCATATCTGCTGGCCTATGCAGTGGGGGTATCCTGATTACTGGACCAAAGGTAATGTGCTTTTTATTTCCCTTTTAGCATACAGGACATTTTGATTTTTGTGACTAGTCTTTTTATATGCCAGACAGTCATTAAATTGTTTTAATTTGTTTCTACTAAAGGAGTGTTTTATGCAGTTCTGTGACTTGCATTGGTGAGGACTACAGCTGTCTTAAGTATCAATGTATAACAAAGATATTCCTTTGCTGCATTGGTATTATGGAGGCCTCTATATGTGTCAACAAAGCGTAGGAGGAAAATATGTACAGTTTTAGAATCTCTTCTAGAACCATGAAACTAGTGGTAAATATATAAATGATGACCAAGTTTTCATGCCCCAGATTATATTCCCTGCCTATTCTCATGGATCTGAAAGCTCATTAAACTCATATCATTCCAAGGTTTTCTTAGTGACCAGAATAAGTTTTACTGTGGCACAGGGAAGACAAACATGAGGGGGTTGGATTTGCAGTACACAGAAATGTAAATGAAGATCTCAGTCCACAAAACAACAGCTGGTTGCTTCAGATGAGGAAATGGCGAATAGTAAGAAATTGTAAGATAAAATAAGTTGTAGCTTAGCTGGTACAGATAGCTGCTCAGGTCTTGATGGAGAATCCCACAACAAGCCCTCTGAAATCTCTTTGGATCAAGGTACACTCAGGCTTGGCTAATTGCCAGAGGTTTTAAGTGGCTGTGAACTGAGTGGTTATAGTCATTAACACAATTAGGGCAATGGTACAAAGTACGGGAGGATAGATTAAAAAGACTGAAATGACAAGTAATAACACAAGACACTTGAGTAGAACACTGCCATTTCTTAATCGAGCAGATATTTTGCTGGTGGCGTGGTCAGGTGGCTGAAGGGACTATAGATTTCTGAGCGTCTTCATTTTATCAGTTTGTATTAAGCTATTTGATTACTTTTATCCTGTACGTATTTCCTTAGAGAAAATTAGTAATCATAATTAAGACACTAGTTTCTGTAATTTTCAGTATGAAGTAAAATTTCAGCCCAAATTTCTTTTACAGGGAAGTGGCAAATCAACCTTAGCAAAGGCCATTTGCAAAGAAGCATTTGATAAATTTGATGCTCACTTGGAAGTGATTGACTGTAAAACTTTAAGAGGTATGGATACATTTGCCTTTTCTGTATCATTTCCAATATACATAGTATACACTTCCAGTATACAACCTAACAGTTCTTAAGAGTTTAATATATTAAACCATATGATTTCAACCAGAGTTAGAGTTCACGTCTCCTGTCCAAGTGATGGTTTAATATTCATAGCTTGCCTTATTATAAGTGGGTGGGTGGATATTGTTAAGTGGGTATTGTTAAGACTTCTTGATATAACCAGAGTGGGAACAAAGTTACATGAGGACACTTACTGGCAACTGACTGCATTGGACTGGAAGCTGCTCCATTTTCTTTCTATGTCTGATAATGTTTCAGGGAAAAGATTAGAAAATATAAGGAGGAAACTGGAAGAAGCCTTCCTAGAGGCAGCATGGAGACAGCCATCTGTCATTCTAATGGACGATCTTGATCGTATAGTGGGCGTTCCCCTTGCTCCAGGACACGAAAACAGTCCTGAAGCAGTCCAGAGCACCCGTCTCGCTCATGGTAATGGCTTGGGTTTTTTAAACTGTCCAGTTAAGAATATTCAGTTATATTAACATTTTCTATCTGATCCTAAATGTCTTCCTTGGATAAATTAAAATGCGTTGGTTATTCCTTTAGGAAATTAGCAATTTCTGGAACTGTATTCATTGGCTGCATATGTTATAGGCTAAAGCTGAAATGTATATCCACCAAATCTGTAATTGTAATTACTGGTTTCTTTTCCTGATGCTACTGTAGATTCAGCTCTTAACTACTGTGTCTGTATACCTAAACTGACCCTAACTTTGTCATATTTCCTATAGACTAGTAATGCTATTTCAAACTAAGTACATTTATATCCCACCTTACTTTCAGGAGAGCCACTTTGGCCTAGTGGTTAAGTCACCAGGCTAGAAAGCAGGAGACCGTGAGTTCTACTCCTGCCTGAGGCATGAAAGCCAGCTAGGTGACTTTGGGCCATTAACTCTCTCTCGGCCCAACTCAGCTCACAGAGTTGTTGTTGTGGGGAAAATAGGAGGAGGAAGGTGTAATAGTATGTTTGCTGCCTTGAGCTACTTATAAAAATAATAAAGGCAGGATTTTAAAAAAATCTAATCTAAATCTAAAAGATTCATACTGGTGCTGGGCAACCACCATCCAAATAGAACCAGAACTAGTCTTATTTCGTTAGTGTGAACTAGATGGGTAAATTGTGCACCAACTATAACTGATCTTCAGCTTTCACATATTGCCAAGGGAAGTGGCATAATCCAGAACTGTGTTAATAACTGGTACACACTATACATTGTATCCATGTTTGCACAACACAGTAAATGCACAAAATGTATCTGCATCTGTGTGTGGTGTGAAGTTAAAATATTGGTTCTGGATACACAAGACAAATGCTATCCATTGGAAGCAAACAAAATACATTGTTTCTAAGCTAGAGGTATTTTTATGGAACTGTGAACTCAAATTTAAGAAGTTCCTGTGTGTGTAAAACTTAAGTCATGTAAATTCCATGTTATATACCTTTCAATGCATAAAAGTTGAACTTTTTTTAAATTCTAGTTCTGAAAGATGTGATAAAAGAAGTTACTTCCATGCACAGTTTGATTGCATTTATTGCCACAAGTCTATCTGAGCAGTCCCTACATTCTTCCATCATTTCTACTCAAGGAATTCATATATTTCAGTGTTTCCAACATATTCAAGTTCCAAATCAGGTAAAAGCCATAATGCAGCTTCCTTTAGAAGTTATTTAAAACCATACAATCTTATTCTGCATAATTTTGCTTAAAGTTTAAAATATGATATATAGAATGCCCAGAGCTGCACTTTATCATCTTCCAAATTAAGTCCTTTTACTTACATTTAAAAGTGTTATAGTTTGTCTTTGTTTTGCTTCAGTTTTTTGTAGCTGGAATAGAGATAAAATTGAAGCAGGGATGAGCTTTCTGGCTGAAATTGCTGGGGTTTTTTTCTTTTCTTTTCAGAGGCAAAGATATGAAATACTTCAGTCCATAATAAAAAACAGATTTGACTTCAGTGTAGACAGATTCTGTGATCTTGATCTCCATCAAATTGCAAAGGAAACAGAAGGATTTGTAGCTAGAGATTTGACAATGTTAACTGATCGTGCCATCCATTCATGTGTTTCTAGCAGAGGAGCATGTAAAAAAGAAGGTATACGTGAACATGTGATTTTATTCTAATATACCTTAAATTTTTTTAAAGGTTTTGTAATGCAGAGACATTAAATATAGGAATTAAAACCTAAGTTTAAGAACAATTAAAATGATGTAAGATTGTATTAGTATGTTTATTGAAGGCATAGATACAGAGATATTGGATCCTTTCACAAATGAAACATTACAGTGTCCTTTGCCCTAACTGCTGGAGCAGTGACTCTTACAATTATGGTTGTTTCCACCTTGCAGGTAGATCATAGGATAAGGAAGGTGTTCTTAAAGTTTTTAGGGCCTTAACTACCTAAAATAATAAATAAAGTTGAAGAAAACTGTAGGCTGCACTCTGACAAGGCTTCCACTCTGCCTGGACAAGCCTTCTGTTGACAGTAATTCAGCTGTGCATGTGCTCCCAGGGTTAGGGCTTTGCTTCAGTGGCTTTTGTGCTGCAGTAGGTCACGCAAGACCAAAATGTGCTCCTACATGCTGTCAATATAAGCCGCCCAGGATCAATTCAGTTTTGCCTAGCTTCACCTTCCCCCTCTTCCAGCGGTGAGTCTTCCTGAGTTACTTCTTGGAGGACATCACATTGGGTCCTATGCTGATCCTGTACACCTGCTCTGTGCAGCCCAAACAGTGTGCTGCTGCTACTGCTTGCAGAGGGATGACACTTAACAATGGGAGGCCTACTCACAAGGGACCACCTCTCCCCTATGACATCAACCCGTCCCACCCGATCACACAGAGAGGGCATGCTTCAGTCCCCCTCAGTAAAAGAACTTCGATTAGCAGGGTCCAGAAGGCAGGCCTTCTCTGTGGTAGCCCCTACTCTTTGGAACATTCTGACCCCGGAAGTGCGATTGGCCCCCTCACTCCTGGCCTTCCGTAGGGCTTTGAAGACCTGGTTCTGACACTTGGCGTGGGGTGGGGAGGGAATACCTCAAGCATGAGGATGGCTAGCCCCATAGAGGCCTCCTGTCTTCAGCCTCAGATTTTTCATCTTCTTGGACTCTTCTTCCCCATTTTTAGTAATGCTTTTAATTGATGTTTTATGTGTATATATATGTTTTTAATGTTTGTTGTGAGTCGCCCAGAGTTCCCCCATCAGGGGAAGATGGGCGGGTGAGAAATTTAATAAATAAATAAATAAACACACCTGGGTTGACTGGAGTGGATCTGGAAGCTCAGTGCCAGGACCCAGCTTGACAACCTTCTCCCCCCAGGAAGAATCCCAGGAAGAGCTGCCACCCCTTTGGAAGAGGGGAGAGTGAGACTAAGCAATAGCATCTTGGTTCTGATTGGGTCACCTTGGGCAATGGTCAAAGTGGCTGTTGCAGGAGTAGTTGCTACAAGTACAAGAGCTGTTGAAGGAGAACTCCAGCATCTGAATCCCATTCATAGCTCTATCCAGTGGCAGCAGCTCAGTCAAGACTGCCCATGTTCAAGCAGAGCTGAAGCAAGTGTGACTCTGCCCAAATTTGCTTGCAACCATTTAGGTGGTCACAACCCACTATTTGAAAATCCCTAGGATAAGCCATTAGACTTTAGTTAAAAGCTTCATTGTATGAGATATTCAGAAATACTTTGTATGTGGCTCGATACAACATTTCAGTGTAATGTTTTTAATATTCCAGTGTAATACATCTTTTTCTCTGTTTTAACAGATCTGGTTCTGTCAACTTTAGATTTCCAAAAAGCTTTACAGGGTTTCACCCCAATATCTTTGAGAAACATTAACCTCCATAAACCTCAGGATTTGGGCTGGGATAAAATTGGTGGTCTTAAAGAAATACAGCAAACACTTATAGATACCATCCAGTTACCTGCAAAGGTATTTTTTGTTTTTATAATCTGAGACAGTTAATTTCTCTAGCATTGCATTTTGTCTGTGAAAAACAAAGATTTTGAAAGGTCTAGCTTGAGAAACAAGAGTTTCATAACCTAAAAAGGGAATGTATATTTATCAGTTGTATAAATAACTGATTATTATTGGGCTAGATCATAATACACATTGTCACATTAAAGTAAATACAAAAAAAATTATAATCAGAGGAAAGCAAAAAGCTTTTTAGTTACATTTAAAAGAGGTATAATTATAAGGAGATTACAGTCCTAGTTTTAAGGAAGCTACATTTTTTTCCAGAATTGTTATTGTGGGGATTGTTATGATAATTCTATTGATAATTAGGAAATACTCTAACTAGGAACACCCAGAAACACAAAGCAAGAATCAAATGAACGTTAGGCAGAGTTTTTATATTTTTAAAAGCAGATAATATTTCTGATATGTTCTCTTTCCAGTATCCAGAATTATTTGCCAATCTGCCCATACGGCAAAGAACAGGAATCTTACTATATGGGGCTCCAGGAACCGGAAAAACTTTACTAGCAGGTGTGGTTGCCCAAGAGAGTGGAATGAATTTTATCAGCATCAAGGTAATAAACTGAACTTTTCTGTAATCCTGAAAGTGCTAAAATGTATTGAATGTTTTACAATTTAGTAAACAAATAAAATGCATATACTTTTTGCCAGGGAGCCAAAGCCCTTTAAAATCTGTATGGTGCAATTTTGAATCTGGCTTGCGACCATCTGTGGATGTGACCAAAGTATATTAGTACACTGATTATAGAAAGGCCTTTGATTTCATTGATCATGTCAAGCTGTGGAATGTGCTCAGAAAAATGGGAATCCCAGGACATCTCATTCTCCTCATAAGAAACTTATATACAAGTCAGGAAGCCACAGTATAGACAGAACATGGTGAAATAGACTGGTTCCATGTTGGCAAAGGTTGCATACTCTCCCCTTACTTATTCAACCTATATGTTGAATATATATTAAGGGAAGCTGGACTGGAAGATGACCGTGGATTTAAAATTGGAGGAAGAAACATCAATAACCTACACTATGCCGATGACACTTTTCTGATAGCTGAAAATAAAGGTAATCCTCGACCTAGAACCATTCATTCAGCGACCCAAGTTACAACTGTGCTGAACAAATGGTGGTTACGACTGGTCCTCAGAGTTCCAGCTGTCCCAGCGCTCCTAGTCATGTGACTGTGATCTGGATGCTTGGCAGCCCATTTGCACTTACAACCAGTTGCCAAGCACCCTGCAATCATGTGATCGCCATTTGCAACCTTCCCTACCAGCTTTCCCAGAAAGTCAATAGGGAAGTCAGTAGGGAAGGTCTCAAGTTGCTGGGGTAAGTCTCCCCCACCCACACACACTCCCCCAGCCCCTCTCCACTTGCGTTGTATTGGCCACTTTCACACCTCCATGCACCCTCCCTGTTATGGTTTGTAGGAATGACCTTGGGGGACAGGGGAAGAGATGCTGCCTAGGGAATGATCAGATAAGAGGGGGCATAGGCCACAGCTGCATAATGGGCAGAGAAAGAAACTCAGAAAGGAACCCCTCTAACTTATCAGGCTGTAAAAGAGATGGCAGGAGATTTGTACTTTCAGATTTGCAAGATTCTGTTAATGGAGCCTTGCAATAAAGTAGAATTAGCTCATTTGGTTGTGTTTCCTGTCTGGCCTACTGGGGAAGGCTTATACTCCCTAATCCTCCTCTTGCCTCCCTTGCACCCCTCCCTGACCCGCGCAGTGCCTGTTGCAGACCCCCTCACACCCTCACACGTGGCCCACGCCACAACTCACCCTTGCACCCTCTCCGACCTGCGGGGTGTCTTGCACACCCTCTCCAACCCATGCGACACCTCTAGCGCATCCCCTTAAACACTCCCTGAACTGCACAGCACCTCTCCTGCACCCTCGCGCACCCTCCCCGAGCCACATGGGCCTCTTACACACCCTCCCCAACCTTCCTCCATGCCCCCACATGCCCCCTTGCTCCTTCCCCCACCCAGCACCAGCCACTTACTTGCCTGCCGGCCTGGGACTTGCAACTTCCTACCAGCTTCCTCACTGACTTTGGTTGCAGGAAGCCAGCAGGAAGTTGCCTTTCCTAACAGCTGTGGGTTTCAGTTAACAACGGCAATTGGAACTGCAAGGATTGCCATTGCTAAGCAATGTGCATGCTTTATGACTGGATCCCTTAGTGATGGAAATTCCAGTCCCAATTGCTGTCGTAAGTTGAGGACTACCTGTACAAAAGGTATGCAAACTCTAGTAATAAAAGTCAAGGAGCACAGTGAAAAAATGGGACTAAAATTAAATATAAAGAAGACCAAATTAATGACAACAGGTAGAAGAACCAAGCCTTAAAATTGACAATCAAAATATTGTAGTGGTGGATTGCTTCTGCCTTTTAGAATTAACTATCAACAGTAAAGGACCAAGCAGTCAAGAAATATGCCACAGACTAGCACTTGGTAGAGCAACCATGAAGGCCTTGGAAAAGAAATTTAAATGCTGTCATGTGTCTTTAACTACAAATATCAGAGTCAGGCAAGTCATGGTACTCCATGGTGACACACTATGGAAGCAAAAGTTGGACTTTGAAGAAGCAGAATAGGAAGGGTATTGCTGCTTTTGAACTTTGGTGGTGGTGAAGACTCTTGAGAATACCATGGACAGCCAAGAAAACAAATCAATGGATCACTGAACAAATCAACCCAGAGTTCTCACTCAAAGCACAAATGACCAGGCTTAAATTATGCTACTTCAGACACATTATGTAAACACCTAGCTTTCTGGAAAAGGCTCTAATCCTGGGAAAGGAAAGAGAAGAAGAGGATGACCAGCAACAAGGTGGATGGACTCAATTACATGCCAATCGGTACACCATTAAAAGATCTGAAAGACCAGATTAGGGACACATTGTCATGTAGAAAATCTATCTGTGTGGTCACTAAGAGTTGACAATGACTTGATGGCACATAGTCATCAGTCAATCACTGGAAGGAAATTGCACAGGCAATTTTTTGTAATCTTGCTGACAAAATTCAGCAGAATTTTGAGAGTAGCATCTATTTTCACATAGATTTATTGCCTCATTGTATAAAATGTTTCTGTAATTTATCTTTCTGTGTTGGTTTTTCTCAATAATTTTAACATCATCCCAGTAGTTCATAATTTAAAAATACTGTATCATTGTCATATTCACAATTCAAAAGAATCCTTTTTCTTGTCCATTCCTCTTTCATCCCCTTTGAGAAGTATGAATCATTGATAGTTTGAATATTATAGTAGAAAAGTGGGAAGAAATATTTTAAATCAATATATATTTAAAATGACTTGCTAGTACAATTGCTTTGTACTATATGGCCTGGTTTTTTAAGGAACATTTACCATTTTGTTTTGCAGGGGCCAGAACTGCTCAGCAAATACATTGGAGCAAGTGAACAGGCAGTTCGAGATATATTTAACAGGTTGGATCCAGTATCATGGTGTTGGTCCTGGGGCCTATTTTCATGATTAATGCGAATAGTAGTTACTGAATCTGGTAAAGGGTAATGTGAAAAAGACAGGCCAAGAGGGTTATGACAGAGGTGAAATATCAGGACTTGCTAATTTCACCTTTTCAGTCTTGGCAAACGTTATTTTGTTTGTTCAATCTGAAGTGTATTTGTATTTCAGAGCTCAAGCAGCCAAGCCATGCATACTTTTCTTTGATGAATTTGATTCTCTTGCTCCTCGAAGAGGTCACGATAACACTGGTGTAACTGACCGAGTTGTTAATCAACTGCTGACTCAGTTAGATGGTGTAGAAGGTTTAGAAGGTATGTATGCATGTATGTATTGTCCAAGACCAATCATAAAAGCAAAGTACAACAAATACAGTAAATAAAAGAATAAAATTGCATAACATTACATTTTTAAAAAGCCTGAAACACTAATGTGAAGGAGACACCAGGTGGTTTCTAGACACCATGACTATTGATAAAAATTTTGCAACCTTCTGAGAATTGATCCAGAAAAGGAGAGCAGTAATCTCATAATAAGAGGAGCAATTAAAATTATTGACAACTGGGGCTATGAGTTTTGATCCCTATTGAGTATATAATGGGCATTTTAATAACACATAACTGCAGCTTTCATACAGATTAGTGTATTTGCTAGTTGTCATCCTAATGGGTAGTGCTCCAATTCATGCCAAAGTAACAAGTTTCCAGTGAGTAACATGTAGGATATTAAAAAAAATATCTAGGGACAGTCAGAGAGATCTAGGGACAGTACAGAGATTACACTGTAGAAAAGGTAGGAAACTGGCTCTGCCAGTTTAAATATCAAAGTCCCAAATCCTGTGCTTCAATTCAGCCAGAGTTTTATCCAGGCCAAAGGCAGAAAGCGCTGCCAAGGCAAGGCCAGGATATGCTAAATCATTGTTAATTTGTCTCCTTAGGGTAGAACCAAACCTGTCTATCCAGGTGAGATGGACCATGGAAGTTCCCCAAAAGACTTGCTTCAGAATTTGAAATGGCAGTCTTAATCAAGCTCCAAAAGAGATGCAACCTAATTCTAACTGTGTTGAGTGAGGGATGCATGTTGAAATTTGTAAGAATGTTGACTGGATGACTTCAAAACTTGGGGTCTCCTTATAGATACACAGCTGAGCACCATATAACATCATACCCAGAACTTTATCTTTAAATAATTTATGGTAGCTGGGACATAGTTATTTCCAAAATGACTTGCAAATTTAACAAATGGAAGAAATGCTTTTTGGATTCTTAAAATCAGCTCTCTCACTTGAATTGAGGATCAATTCAATCAATAGAGGACTGAAAGTATTTTAAAAGATTTAACCTATTCAGTAAGCTTACCACCGATTGTCCATCTAATTGGAACCTTAAAATGCTTCCTAAAGAATATCAAGATTTTTATTTTAGAGTAGGTAATTTCAATATGTTCTCTAGTGCAATAAAGTGATAAAGCTTTAAGACATCTTCAGAGGACTTATTTGGGTAACAGACAGAATGACCACATTCTCAGCATAAAGAAGAGTAAAAATGGGGTGGTGTATAAGGGATGCAGGATGGAATTCTGGCATGGCAAAAACCTCAACTATGTCATTAATATAAAAATTAAAAAAACAGTGGGGCAAGAATACAGCTTTGTTTGACATTTTTGCAAGTAGAGATAGGTCCACTTAGCTCACTTAGGTAGGTACTTTTCACTTGGATGATAGCGCCAAAGTGCAATAGTATAATTAACTTAAGGAGACATTGATCAATCAAAATAGTAGCTAATTTCCTTCAGAATATTTCAGGAAGTATTGAATTAAAGGTCGTCCTTTGTCTACAAAGCCTATAAAGGCAACATAAAGGGTGCCTTTGGGCTAATTATAATATTTCACAATGAGATCATATAATAGGATGCATTGGTCCATAGTAGACTGATCAGATCTGAACCTAGACCCAAGGTGTTCTCAAAGCCATCCAGTCCAAGAGTTTATAATATAAAAATCTGGCACAAAGTTTGCTGATTATGGGGAAAAGATTAACTAGGCAGCAATTTGTGGGATCACTTCTGCCACCTTTTCTCTATGCTGGAAGAACAATGGAGTTAAGCCAATCACTAGGGATATACAAGGAGTTATTTATAGCTGAAAAGGAGGGGCTAGCAGAGTGTCCCATCATACAGAATTTAGTTTTGCTTAGGGCTTTACTATTTGTCAGTTGAGAGATTAATTTTTTAATCTCAAAAGGTGAAACCAGGCCATTCAGGGAGAGATTAGTCAAGACTGGACATGGAATTTGCTGCATTGAGACACTTTAGATAGAGATACAATAAACAGATTATATTGAGTTCAAGACTTGACAGAGATTAAATTGTCATCATTATCAGAGTTAGCGCTGGTAGGGAATTGAGAAACAAGGTTCCAAAACAGGCAGTCATTTTTTCAATCACAATCTGTTGGCTCCTAGGCCAGTTTTCAAAAGCATAGTTTTATTTTTTCTTCTTTAAAAGCTACTCATAGTTTCATCCTTTATTTGGAATAGGTGATTGGTTCAGTTAGATTAAGGGTGAAGACACCCACTATTGGTAGTGGTCACACTTTGGATGGAAAGCCACACTGAAATCTTTACAAAGAGGGACAAAGTTACTGCTAATTACCACTTAGTATAAAATAGATGCCATTCTGGAGCCCCCCAAAGTAAGTTCACCTTAGAGTCCTCTGATGTGGATCCATTTAATATCTTTAAATAAAATTTCATTGCCAATAAAACAGCCTCCAGCCCCCTGTATTTATGCCAGGGTCCTTCAGTTTCCAGCAGCTCTCCTGAATTGAGGAAGAGCATAGATGTCAGCCTCATGGGGTAAACCAGATAGGAATCACAACCAAATTAGCTAATTCTACTTTATTGTAAAGCTACATTGACAAAATCTTGCAAGTCTGAAAGTACAATTCCCCCCGTCTCCTTTACAGCCTGAGAAACTAGGGAGGGTCTCTTCTGAGCCTCTTTCCCTACCCACTATCCAGCTGTGGGCTACACTGTCTCTTATCTGACCCTTCCCTTGGTAGCATCTCTTTGCCCAGTCTCCCCAGGTCTATTTACAATAGGATGGTATAAGGCTGTAAAAAAAAAAAACTGTCACTGTTCCCCAGCCTCGTGCTAAAGTCATTGGCAATTATTACTATTGAATTTGGGAATTGGGAGATGAAGGTTAATACACAGGATTCAAAGCAATCCCAATCACTATTAATTTGAGCGATGTAATTGTAAGGTGGGAGATAAACCCTTATCAGGAGCTGATTAGTTTGATCAACTTTCAGATGAATAGCCATGACTAATTGTTCACAAAAAATAGCAGGCAGAGTATGGGGGTGCAGCATATCAGAAATTAAGATAATTATTAAATTCTCATGTCTGATTCCTTCACAAAAATGATTGGCAGGTTTTATTAACAAATATTCTTAACTTGATCTTAGGAGTTTATATACTAGCAGCCACTAGTCGTCCTGATTTGATTGACCCTGCTCTTTTGAGGCCCGGTCGGCTGGATAAGTGTCTATATTGTCCACCTCCTGATCAGGTAAAGAAATAAAATACTGTGCCAGAGGTAACAGTAGAAAAAAACTGTTTTCCTCTGTAAATTAAAAAAAGGCAGAATGAAACATCTTCCCTGACAACCACTAGTATTGCATGAAATCAGTGATAGTATGTTCCTCTCTTAACCTGCTGTAAACATGAAGTCATACTAGTTATTACATAATTATGACCTCCATCTCTGCTGATTGTATTACCATCTCAGATGTCAAGCAGGCAGCCAGGTCACTGCAACCCAGTGCATCACCTTCTCCTTGCTCAGGCTTTGTAGACATTTACCATTTTAAACAGTGTTCAAAAAGAAGGCCTTAGAAACCATCTTGCATGAAATATTTTAACTAAGCATTTCCATGTTCTCCAAAATCTTCTGAATTCATTTAAATTATTACTAAAATATGACACGGGCACAACATTGCGCCCTCAACATTTGGTAAACTTATTGTATTTGGAACATTTTGATTTCCAGATTTACATCTGATCTCTTCAGTTGGGTTAGGTTCAGAATAAGGCATATTCTTCTATCTACCAGTGTGTTTTTAAGATACAGTACTGTATAAATATTCTTACATATCGTCTTTAATACAATGTATCACATGACAATATTGACATAAATGAGGTTGCAGTACTATATCGGTTTTGTTAACAAGGACACAATATCTAACTGCACTGACTACATACGGTACTTTGTTTCTATAAAATAAGTGATATTGGGGATGTAGTCATAAGAAAGAATGACATGTCTTGTCAGAATTTTAAGTTAAGATTAATCCTGCATATTTTTATTTAGATCTAGATAAGTTTTTTGATAACTTTCAATTGAGAAAAAAATAATGGGAATGTTTTTACTATACCTAATAAGTCATTTATTTCCCTGTGTCTTTCTGTATGCTGTTTTCATTTCAGCAGTGTCCCTTTTCCTAGTTGACAAGGGTTTTTAAGGATAAGAATCCAGTCTTCTAATAACAAAGTTACTTCTAATTTTCTAAGGCTTCCCGATATGAAATATTAAAAGCTCTGAGTCATTCTCTTACTTTGGCACATGATGTGGATTTTCAGCATTTGGCAGCAAAAACTGAGTATTTCACTGGAGCAGACTTAAAAGCTTTATTATACAATGCCCAATTAGAAGCAGTGCATGCTAGTTTGAACTCAACTTTGCCCCAGGTAAGTTACTTTGAAATGTAAAGGATTTCCTTAACCTTTGGTTTGTAATTTGTAAAATGAAGCACTGGTTGGGAAAATCCCAAATACCTAGTACCCGGAGTATCTAAAATGAGTTACCTAAGAATAGATCACATTCTTAATATTTCCAAAACATTAATTTGATTTCCATGCATTTTAGCATAGTTCCAAATCCAAAGTGAGAATTTGTCAACTTTGTCTTTGAAAAACAAAATTCATACCAGATTACAGTTACAATTGAAACCATTGATTCAAAAGCCTCATCCATACCTATTTTTGTGTTGGATATTGTTCCATCACTTAAAGCATTGAAAATATGCTGGCTATAGAACTGTAGAATTCGTTACATTGCAGCAAAACATAAAACATTTCACCAACGGTATAATATGGTTGCATTTTCTGACTGATGTATATCTTCCCTCCTTTCTGGGGTTGACCACATAGTGTCGTGTCCATGGGGAGATCAAAACAGGCAAGATGGCAGATGCACTATCATGATCCAAGCCCTGCTCTTTGTACATACATATGCAGGATTGGGGCTTGGATCACAATACCATATATACCACTGATTACATACTATATGGTGAATAGGGTGCTATTTTACTAAAGTGTATTTCTGGTCTTAGCGGTGGGATTCCTTTATTTTAACATTTTTGTTTATTAACCATTTGAAGTAAATATATAAATATATATCTGGTCAGTTTATGTATTAAGCATAACTGTTCAATCTTGCTTTTATTTTCCTATTGATAGCTAATTATGATTGTTATGATGAACCCAATTGCTTTCTAAGTGATATAAAAATAGTACATACTGGTAAAATGATTATATTAGCTGTAGCTGTACCTTAATATATTTATCTTATTCCAACCTGTTTATAGCTCTAGATATTTATTCAAATGTCAAGCTGTTTGTGTGAATGATCTCCATGTAATTTGGTCAGTCTTTAGTACAGCAACTTAACATTACTTTTTTAAAAAGAGATTCAGTATAATTAAAAAATAATCTAATTTGTTTGGGAAATATTACTTACTATTTGGCAGTAAAATACTGAGCAGTAGTACTCAGAATGAACAGGACGGCTCACTATTAAATGTTAATAGTTTTCCTGCTTAATTATCAGCTCTTGCTGCTCTGCAATTAACAGACACCTAGTTTTTTCAATACTTGAAAAATACGCAAATTATCTTTACTCTGTTTGCATGCCATAAATGAACTCATAAATGTTTGCGTTTTCACTTTTCCAAAATTATGGAAAATATTTTAATCCAAGAACGGGTGTTTTCTCACAAAGCATGCAAAGGGTTGTATCAAATCAATATGTGAACATTTAAATAATTTTTTTTCTATTAAAACCTAGTTCATGCTTACTAAGAAGACCCATTGCCATAGTCACATATTTCTGTTTGATTTATCTTTCTGTCTGTCATTTGACAATAAGATTCTGAAGGCAGTTTGTAAAGTTATTAAAGTACAATTAGCAATTAAAACTGGAACAGCACTAACACAAATCATAACAGCAAAAGAAAAAAAGTAAAATGTGTTAAAATCAAATACATATATTTTGACAGTTGGTCCAAGGCCTAGAAGAGAGGGAGGAAACCATCATTTCTTAGCGGGGAGATTATATATTCTAGGAAATTCTAATTTTATTTATTTTCTCCTCAGGAGATAGGTTCCAGCTCAGATAGTGATCTTAGTCTATCCTCAATGGTTTTCTTAAACCAAAGTAGTGGATCAGATGATTCTGCCAGAGATGGAGAAGGAGGCTTAGAACAGTCATTAACTTCCCTTGAGCTGTGTGACCTGCTTCCTGAAGATCCAAGGTCTAACATCTATCGCCTTTACTTTGGCAGCTCCTATGAATCTGAACTTGGCAATGGAACTGCTTCAGAAATGGTAACTTTTCTGCTTTATTTAATTGATCTTTTCCCCAGTGATTTAAAAATCACACAATTGAATCTGGGCATATTTATTCTGCCAAAACAAAATTCAGACTTTTTTTGGAGTGGTAAAATAAGTAAAAATAATTCCATGTGTGAAAAATCAGCAGAAGGGAATTTGAGTTTGCTTTCCTGGATCAGTATTTGTTCAAAGCCCTTTGTACCCCACTCATCACTTTCCATTGTTGGAACCAAAAAGTTGCAGAATTCAAAAATCAGTAGGCTTCTTTGCATTTGCACTTTTCCTCCTCAGCTTCTATTTAATTTTAAGAAATAAAACTCTGCATGGGCATTGAATCTGTTTCACTGAATCATTGGTTGAAAATTGCTGTAACAGTACAGTGACTGAGAACATATATCAAATAAAAGATACAATTAGGATTTTCTTCCCTAGATGTTTGTGGTATACAACAAAAATAGAAAAAAATCCTATACAAAAACTGTGATAAAAATGTGGGTACCACTGTGCAGATGATATGAGTTTACTCCAAACTACTAGAGGATGATATTATGATATCCATGAATAATATTAAAGCCTTCAAATGCTAATACAAATACATTTCATTATAGACTCTAAGTAAATTTAAAATCCTGATCAGTCTTTTCTAGCCATCACATAGTTCTACCCAATTCCTTGTTTATTCTTTTCCTGAAAAAAGATGTAAGAAGTAAGTGATGAAAGTAAACTATAGGGTAATAACATTTTAAATTCAATTACGAGCATTCTGAAAACAAAACATATTGTATTTCAATTTTACCGATACATCATGGACAGTATTTTGCTAAGCTCTAAAATATAACTTGTTCTCTTTGATCAAAAATAGCTGCTTTATGTTTTGGGGAAAGTAGTGAGAAGTTAAGGAAATGTCTCCTTTCTTCCTATCTTTTCCTATTTTCCCTATTCTTTTCATCCTGATCCACTCTCTAATATTGCTGAATGTGTTCAAACTCAAATTGCCCAGTCTCAAAATGTTCCTGTGTTTCCTGGAATGTTTTTCTCCTGGAACTTGCAAATTCAGTCGATTCTGGGTCTCCTCTTCTGTAATAGAAGGTGACCTGTAGTGTCCCAGTGCCAAAACACATCCAAAACATTGCAAACCATTTCCTGTACTAGAAGATTCACTCCTGGAATGAGATAAACCAACCTCAGAATGGCCAGATTGGTATATTCTGGGAGAAAAAATTGAATGTTTTGGGAAATAGAACATTTAAGCATAGAATGTTTAAGTATTATACTTTTCTGTTTAACAATTTCCTGCAAAGTAATTTAAACATAAAACATGTATTCATATTTTAATTATTTTGCTTACAAATGAGTTGTCAGATAAAACATTTCCTAAAGTTTGTCTTATTGAATAATTCATCTTTAATATATGTTCACTGTGGTAAAACTTTTATTGAGTTATTAATAATTAAATGACAGAGTTACTGTTTTTATGTACAATTTTCCCTTTCTTCTCTCTATAGAGTTCTCAGTGTTTCTCAGGACCAAACTCCATAAACCATGAATTAACCAGCATAACTCTGAAGGATTTAGTATCTTCTCAACCTCCAACTTTAAGAACCACTTTACAGGAAAGTTTCCAAGAACTTAATCAAGAACAGATAGAACAGCTCAGGGCAGAAATCAGTGCCATCAAAGCCAACTACAAAAGCAAGAATGGAGTATGGGACAAACTATAATTTTCTTTTCATAGAAATATTTTTAGATATGGTGTGCTAGATTACTATAGTACTTAGAGGTTTGCAACTGCAGCAAAACCATGGCCTAAACTAATGTTTTCACAGCTTCCATTTATAAACATGTTATCATAATTCAGACATTAAAACAGAGCATTTTATGACTGAACATTTATTACTCATAAGATTCAAATTAGTGTACTGTATTGACCCAGTAGGAATTAGAAGGTCTAAGAACAGTAAAAGCTGTTGAACAGAGTTGCAAAGTTTGAGTGCCTTTGAAGCAGGGGAGGGGCGACTGTTTGCCTTTTGGTAAATGTGGCTTCACTTTTTCTTTACTTCTGGGTCCAATTACTTTGTGGATTGGATTGGATTCACCTCATCCAGTTTTCTTCCCTACTTTCCCTTCCCAATACAACACCTTTCTACATATCCCATCTTAATTCAGTTTTCTTCCTTTGTCTGCTGTAATGAGGGAAAGGAATATGTGTGTATTTGTATGGCTGTATGAGAAGGCTTGGGGCATAAAATAATTGGTATATGTAATTAATTGGCATCACCTAGCTGACACTGACAGATTTTGAAAAGCTATGCAAGATCATTTCTGGTTAGTACCTGAATAGGAGGCTGGGAACTCAAAAAGATCCATGAAGAAGCTTCCATATTGTTGCCAAGGAAATAATATGGACTATTTGTGAAGTCACAAAGAGCCCTGTTTGACTCGAAGACTTTATCTTTTAATTTTAATTAGTACTTAAAAAAAATTTTTTTTGTATTGACCCTGCTTTTCGGGGAGGGGGACGGGTAGCTCTTGGCAGGCATATATACATCCATACATCCATATGTGCAAATGTATCACAAGCATGTATTTTCTTCAGGGTTGGTTTCAGCTAGAGTTGGCAACCCTAATGTACTTCATAACCCTGTGGTTTGTCAACAACTGTTCTGTCACATCAGGCCATCATGCTGTAGAATTCTCAGAAGTGTTCAAAGGGAGTATTGGGTAATCCCATCTCACCTGTCCACTTCACCACTTCGCCTTACTTTAGCTCATGGTGCCCCATCTGCCCTACTTATTAAGTTGGTTCCCAGTGTAAGAGCCAAAGACAACAAAAGTACGAAGATGTTCAAAGAACAGCTATTCAAAGAACAGCTATTCAGTGAATATTTTTCAACATGTAACCCTTATTATGGCTAATACCCAAGATTTTCCAGCCTAAAACAAAGAATTATATGTGTCCCAGTTCCATACAAAAATATCCAACCAGATTGCCTTATTAAAGTAAGATTCAACTACCAATGGCATACCATTTGCCTCCCAATAGCTACCAGAGATAGCTGCCTTACTCTGTGTAATGGTGGGGCTGGTTCTTTTATTACGTATTTTCAAACCCTAGCCAACCTCTGAAATATATCTAACAAGCTTATGTCCACAGTTAAACAGGGATGTTATTTTTTCCCTTAACTCTGCAAAATCCAAATATAATTATTTATATTTTTCTGGCATTCTCTGAAAATGGGAGTGAAGACATCAGTGAAATGGTGCTGATAATTGAAAAAGCATTTTTAGTGGTGGGGGGAATACTTCTTGGATAAATGCTAAAAGAGGAAGGAATGCATAGCATAGTTTGACTGCAGATGCCTTGACTGGACTGCTACTGAATCACTGCAAGATCATTCAGTGTCACTTTTACTATCAGTATGGCAGTTCAGGATAACGTCTTTAGGAACCTGCCAAATTACCTATCTCTGATATAAACCTAGGTTTGACTGTAATGTTTGGAGCATATATCATAATCTGTCTTAAAACAATGTTTGGCAGGATCTCCAAGCTCAGCTGTCATTATCAGGAGATGTTTTAAATATGTTTAATTTTTTAATACATTAAAGTATCTTAATGTGATTATTTTTCAGGAGGAAGTTGCTACCAGCATGTCATCAGTAACCAAAAGAACTCTAAATATTACTCAGATTCATCTAATGACTGCTCTTGAAAGTACAAAGCCATCTATTAGTCAAGAAGACTGGAATAAGTTTGCTGAGCTGTAAGTACCTGAAGAACATATGAACTATTCTTTTAATTTTGTCTGTAAAAATTCTGGAAAAGTAGTTATTCTAGTCTGTTGTACAAAGATCCCAAATATATTTAAGAATCTTAAAATTCACAGAAAAAAATATGCATACAGTCATACACATACACACACACACATGTGCCTATTCACATATAGCTTTTCATCCTGTAAAATTGATTTTTTTGTGTTACAGATTAATTTAGTAAAACCACTAAAATGTTCAGTAGACTTGTTAAAACCATGGCAAATATTCAATACATAGAATATAAATGGATGATAATCTATAAAAATCTTAATTATGACTAATTCTCACAACCATTTGATACATAGTATCATCATGCTAAATAGGAATCCTACATTTATGCTGAGACTGCAACAGTTTATATTACACATATTTTTATTGAGTACTTTATAATTGATATGCATCTTGTGTAAATCAAATAAAGTTCAGGTTAGAGGATTTCCCTATTATCACTGTTTATTATACAGATAGATTTTGTGTTTCTGCAAGCTTTGACTAGAATGTTTCAGAGAATCTAGGCAGGGGGACAGTCTTCCTATCAGTTTCCCTTGTGTACACATTCAAAGGGTATTCCCACTGTATTCTCTTTTACTCTCACAGTACCAGAACCATGAAGAATGCTTTCTGTCTTAACATTTGTCATTAAGATAATCTGTACAGTATCTTCAGTCATCTTTGGCTTTATTCTACATCTTGCATTATACTTCTTACTTTTTGCCCCTAGGATTTTTCTTTTTCTTTTTTAGTGCATGTGGACATTGTCGTTCTTCTCTTTTGGCTTACAGCCTCAGAGGTGGATTATAGGAAGTGCTGTAGTGGCACTGAATTAATGACCAGATATTCCTGCTGCCTTTTGTACCTTGTCAGTGACTGCTCCCTTGCTAAGCTTTGTTTGCTCCGATACCAAGAGTACTTGTTTGGTTCATGGTTCTGACTCTACAGCACTGTCAATGTATCTAACTAAATTGATATTATCATCTACTTAAGTTTCAGCAAAGTACATCTTCAAAAATGTTCTCATAACCATTAGTGGAATGTAAAATAATATCACTCCATTGCTCTTACAGTTCTGGATCCCAGTGAGAGTAAAATGCAACAAATCCTTGACCATTAATTTGACGAAATTTGTGTTATTTGCTTAGTTTTTAATGTATTTATATTAGATTTAATATATAAATACAATATAAATAAGCATTCAAGATCTTAAGTCTACCTCTAAAAGTAAAATCCAGAATCTGAAACTTATTCTTCAGCATGCATGCTAGCAAGCAACTCTATTTCATATTCTCTTTACATTTTTTCCTCTTGAGCCTTATAATTTAAGAAGCTTAAAATATTAAAATGCTTGGTAGTCTGTAAAAGAAGAGTACTTGCAATAGTTCCAATCTGCATGTATACCAGTTGGATAAAAGTTGTCCACCCTCCTGCCCCCCACCCATGCTATCATCACTAGGAAAAGGACCCTCCAGATATCTGAGCTGTGAACACTTTGGGTCTGTGAAACTAGAAATCATAGAGCTGAAAAGGGCATTAAAGCCATGGGGCCCAATCCCCTGATTAGTGCAGGAATCCAATTAAAGCATCTCAGATAGATGGCTATCTATTTTTTTTTATTTTTTATCTGCGCTCAGTCGTTACCAACTCTGCAGTGACTGCTTGGACGAGTCCTTGCAGTTGTCAAGGCAGGGTATTACGGAAGTGGTTTGCCAGTGCCTCCTTCCTAGAGCAGAGCCCAGCGGGCGAGCGCAGGAGGCGGGGTTTCCGTTGCTTTGCGCCCTGTATGGGCGCGCACAGTTTTCCGCGCTTACCGGCAACTGCTCCCACCTCCTTTTTGCAAGGCACCGCCAGCATTTTTCCTCCCACCAGAGTGAGAGTACCCATTTAT